CAGTTGCTTCATATATTTTGTCTTATTTTCTAGTTGTTTATGCTAGTAGGCCTGGTCTGTTACTATCTCCTCTGTCATGGCTGAAGGTAGAAATGTATAAGTAACATTTGAACTTTATAATAATGTAATTGTGAATGTTGACCTAACCAAAATTAGGGTGGAAGGTTAGAAGGTAGACGTGGGATATATGGTTAGGCTGGGTGAAAGAAAGCTTTATTGTCAATTTGTTGTATGATGTGATAATATGTAGAACTGAAAAAGCAAGAAGTAGCCATACAAGCATCTTATTTAATGATGTGATAGTAAATGACAAAATAATGATCTAAAAGAGTCTAACAGGATTATTTCTAGGGAGAGGCAACTGGGTCAGGGAAAGAAGAAAATGAGAGATTATTCTTTTCCCCAGTAAACCTTGTAGAACTGTTTGACTTAGGAACATATACAGAAAATTATCAGTGAAACTAGGGAAATCATAGGAAAGAAGGTATAATAGTACTGGTATTAGTCATAATCAAATTTAAGATCAAACACATTTTAAAAGAGAAAAGAGGAATTTTTTAATTGCTATATGTCCATAGAATCATGGAATTTTATTTACTTAACAGTAGCTCTTTGAAGTGTATTGAGCTGATATAAATACCAGGAGAAACTATATCCATATCCATAATGGAGAGAAGTCCAACTTCTATATTTTAGAGTTTGATAGATGAAATAGACCCAAAAAAAGGAAATGGAAAAAAAATTTTTTTTGAAGATTTTATTTATTTGTCAGAGAGAGAGCACAAGTAGGGAGGGCGGCAGGCAGAGGGAGAAGCAGGCTCCCTGCTGAGCAAGGAGCCCGATGTGGGACTCGATCCCAGGACCCTGGGATCATGACCTGACCTGAAGGCAGATGCTTAACCGACTGAGCCACCCAGGCATCCCAGGAAATGGAAAATTTGAATAACACAGTTAGCAAGCATGTGTGTGCTTGTACATGCACACAACTTTGTACAAATTAATATAAAATTTTTTTTAAATTTGTTTATTTATAATCTCTACACCCAACGTGGGGCTCAAACTCATGACCCCAAGATCAGAAATTGTGTTCTTTTCCAACTGAGTCAGCCAGGCAGCCCAAATTAGTACAAAACTTTAAAATACAAGTGCAGTGAGCATAAAAATTGACTTGTTAGGCTACAGTGGAAATATTAACCAGTTCCAAAAAGAACTCAGTTGGGTATATCTTTTTATTTATCCTGCTTAGGATTTGTAGGGCTGCTTAAATCTGTCTTGGTGAATTTCATTAGTTCTGGGAGAAAAAAATCAGCTATCATCTCTTCAGATACAGACTTTATTCTCTTTCCTCTCCTTCTGGGACTCTGATTACATATTTTTCAGATTCATTTTCACTGCTCTTCATGTCTCCTAATCTCATTTCTGTTTGTTTGTTTTTTTTTCTTAATGCATTAATGGATGATTTCTTCTGATCTTTCTTTTTGTGTTTGAATTTTTTTTTTTAGGTCTGGTCTTTTGCTAGATATAAATATGTGTATTGAGTTTTAACATTTTGCCTTTCTAGAAGTAATGTTTGTTATCTTTTCATGCTTGATATATTTTAAATACAATTTTGTACCCTGCACCTACTTTCAGGTTTATCATATATTTGAGGTTTTTTTGTTTTGTTTTGTTTTTTGGCAGCAGATCATATATTTGTTTAAACAGATAAGCGTTACTGTTTTTAAATCTGTGTCAGATAATTCCAGTAGCTAAAGTCTGTGAGGAATGTTTCTCCTGGTTGTTCATGTTGTTTTATTTATTTATGTGCTTGGTTTTACTTCTGTGCCTGCTTCTTGGTTGTTGTCCCTGAATTATTTGTAGAGTTGTCCAGGGCCTAACGTATTTTTGCCCTCCTCTAGAGAAACTTTCATTTGTCTTCTGCTGGATCCTATAAACAGTGATGTTAGAGGTGCCTCAAGCATAATGGGCGCTGGTGGGGACAAGTATAAAGGTCTAAGGTCCCTAGGATGCAAATTTTCCGTAAGGTTGGTTTCAGCAACTTCTTCAGGATGTTTTTCTTCTATCCCTATTTTTCTTGTTCTGACCTGTCTGTAGTTTGTTCTTATCCTGAGACTGAAAGAGTCTTTTGGGGGACGGGCTGGGTCTCAGCTTAAGTTCTTTTGAGTTCCCCAAAGACTCTTCACCTTGGGCTAGCCCTGGGCTTTGAATGCTGACCCTCCCTCCCCATTTGTTGTTACAAAGATTTACACTTACCTCTCTGGATTTTGACTTTTATACAGAGGTTGGCTTGGGACTTCCCCACTGCAGATCATTACTGTTTCTAAGATATTGGTTAAAAAACAAAACTTTATATAGTATTTTTCATTGTTTCTAGGAGGAGGAAAAGTTAAGGCTGTGAATGCATTTATTGGAAAACAAAGAACAAAAAATAAATTAGCTTAGTTCTAGGTTAAGAAACCAAAAAAAGAGTAGTAAACGTGACAGTAGAAGCAGGGATTAAGCAGAATTTGGTGAAATAGAAAAAAAGTAGTATTTCAATAAAAGTTAGAGCTGGTTCTCTGAAAGACAATAAAATAATCAAACTCTTGGCAAGTCTGATTGGAAAATAAAGAGAAAAAACATAAAAGATACATTAGAAATAAAAGTGGGACTATAACTACACACATGAAAAAAATTAAGTGATTACACTAGAGTCTATAAACCATCATAATTAATAGTTTGGCAATTTATCGTCATATTAACACTATTAAAAATATTTTACACATTAAAAGTGCCATATGCCACAGGTGCCATATTTTGCATTAGTTTGATATATAACACACAATAATATATTTAAAGAAAAATTTCATGCTTGTACATTTTCATTTGACGCTGTATTCCTAGAAAATTAAGTTTAGTATACATGTTTCAGTCAAAAAGTAAACCATGTGTATTTTTTGTATCCCATTTTTAGTCTTTCTCCCTTGCTTATCTCTTTGTACTGGCTTATTAATGTTGTGTCATTGGGTTTGTGGAGTAGGTATTTCTGGTGGTGTGTGTGCTGGAGCAGCTGTCAGGGAGTGCATGCCTTTCCAACTTTTTCTGGAGCCTTGAAAAGTTAAGATTTTTTTAAAAGAAAAATTAACCATGCTAAATTCTCTGTTCTAGAGAGTAGCTTGGTGTTCATTTGGCAAATATTTATTGAGCGCCTAAAATGTGTACTTCTAGCTTCATATTTCATCCTGGAGAAAGACTTCAGATCACGCAAAAGTCACACAAGTTACCAAGTCAGCTGTTTTATATGCCTCCTACTCACAAGTCAGTTCCAGTATGCCAAATAGGACCAATTAGCTGGAAGATTCAGATTTTTATTTCATTATTTTTATTCAGATTTTTAAATGTGGAAATCAAATGGTATGGGTGCTTGCGTCTTCCAGGACCACTAAGAGTTATGTCTGAAAATTTAAGAACGGGATTTTGGGAGACCTTATGATATTACCAGTAGAAGCTGAGGAACATAAAGAGAAGTCTCACTTTCTTAATGGCCTTCAGCATTAATCTGAGTGTGTTGACAAATTCGAGGGTTTTTATTTTTGTATTTTACTTACGTATGAAAAGATGAAAGTACCTTTAAGTTAAAAGCATAGCAAGATTTCAGGCTTTTGAATACCATCTCCACTCTACCTTGTTCCTACTTTTTTTCTTGATGACATCATTTCTGTTAGTCCCTACTCCTATATTCTTATAGGCACAATTTCCTGTTTCTGGGATCTCTTCATATCCACTTAGATATGATCTTTCATTCATTATTAACTATTTATGTTTTAGGCGGGGAAGGGCACAGGGAGAGAGAGAATCTTAAGCAGGCTCTACACCCAGCACGGAGCCCGATGTAGGGCTCGATTTCACAACCCTGAGATCATGACCTGAGCTGAAATCAAGAGTCGAACATTTAGCCGACAGAGCCACCCAGGCGTCCCTATTTTTTGATTAGTAGTAATAATAAGTGACTTATTGAATGCTTATGTGTAGGGCACAGTTTTAATCACTTCATAAATGTATATCTCTTCTAACTCTTACAGAAACCCTCTTAATAAAGTACCGTGATTCCTATTTTATAGGAGAGATGACTGAGGCAGGCAAGTCACATAACTTATGGCCAAGGTCTCTCAGATAGTAGAGAGGAGCCAAGATTTAAAGCCAGGCAATGTGATTCCATAGCTCTTATTCAGGCCACCAGTAGCCCTGGCATTAGCAGGAGGAATAAAAGCAATATTGTAATGACAAAGGGAAAAAAATTACAACAGTGTAATTGCTAGTATTTATTGAGGGATTACTGTGTGCTGTTCATGATAATAATGGCTTTATGAGAGTTACTTTACTTTTACCATTATGCCTCACCCTTTAAGATCATTTTCATCTTACTATTGAGGATACTGAGGCATAGAGTTTCACTAACTTGCTTAAGTCCACATGGCTAGTAAATGTTGGAAACTAAAGTCAAACTCCTGAGCCAGAGTATCTGTGGATTGTTGTTTATTTGCCCATTTATGTTCCTTTTAGATTGACAATGAATTAAATAATAAGTACTTCATTAATATTCTAGCACATAGTAGGTTTTCATTAAATATTTGTGGATTGTAATATATAAACCTATGTTTAGATGAGATAAGTTATACTCTTTGCCTCTTACACAGCACCCTGGAAGCTTTTTTTCCTGTCAACTCTGCTAGACGCTATAGGGAATACCACGGTTGTATTTTTTTTTATTACAGAACCTTTGGTGGTGTTTTAAGTTTTAGTGTTAAAAGTAGTCTGTGCTAAGCTCTAAAAAAAAGTAAGTATTTTAAAAACTTTTATCTTAAATTTATTAAATAATATTTTAAGCAATTAAAAGATTTAGGAAAAGGGAGATGTAACAAATAACCACATACCTGTCATCCAGAATGATAATTGGTTTTCATATAGCTTATTTCTTTCCTTATTTAATGCTAACTTCTATGTTTGTTTTGTGCTTAAAGCCATATCCAGAAGACCCAGCAGTTTATAAACCACTCTCCCAGGAAGAATTGCAAAGGATAAAGAATGAGAAAAAACAGAAACAGAATGAGAGAAAACAGAAAATATCAGAAAACCGCAAACATTTGGCTAGTGTACGTGTTGTACAAAAAAACCTCGTCTTTGTTGTAGGTCTGTCTCAGCGCCTAGCAGACCCAGAGGTAAGTCCTCTTCTGTTTTCTTTCTCAACTTGACATTTTTTTCTTTCTTGCCTATCTTATTTGGAAATAACAGCTGACCTTGCCTATTTGCAGGATTCCCCTGAAATTATTAAAACTTAGGAGAGAATGGGAAATGATTTTTTAATTATCTCTAAGAATCCAATGATCAGTTGTGATCAGAGTGTCTTAATCTTTCTTGGCCTCATTTTCTTCAGTTGTAAAACGAGGCAGTTGAACTAGATCTCTGAAATCTCCTTTAGTGCTAATAATCTGTGAAAGTTGGATAATTTGCTATTCAGGCTAACATGTGACATGACTACTCGGTTTCTTTCCTCTTTTCTGTAGCTATATAAGGATCACAGTGGACATGCAGTTACATGAACCCACTAGAGATCTGTATTTTTTTTAATCCTGTCCACATAGTGATTCTTGGTTATTGAACAGTTACATTTTAAGCCAATTTTGGGGAAAGAATTGGATGAAGGAAAATAATGGACCAGGTTCTTTGTCATTTGTTTGGAGGCAGGGGAGGCCTTAATCTTTTTGTTCATTACCTCTTTTTTCTCCTTTCACCACCTGCGTTGAAGAGTAATGTTGAGCTTATAACTTTCCCTGATACCCTTGGATGGTCATCTGCTAATTTTCAGTTTCTGATGTATTAGGAGGTGCTGACTAGATTGATGGGAGAGCAGGTAGAAGCTGATTGACAGCCAGAGTGTTTGCTTCAGTAGGAGAGAGTTGGATTTGGGGGTCTACCAAAAGTATTCCTTGAGAAGGGTTTGGAGTAATGCTCATCATCATGGTACCCATAAGAGGGAGGATTATAGTGAATATGCTTAGGGAGGTGGGAATCTTCAGACTTGGCTAAGTGGGCAAAGGTCCCAGTGGAAGGAAACTTAAGGAGTCTAAAAATTGATTTTTGTAAAAATCAACTTAGAATAATACATATTTATTAATGATGAGTTTACTATGTCATTGAGGCTGTGAAGGGCTTCAGGATCAGTAGAAGAGAAAGTCAGGGAGACCTTACTAAGAACCCTTTATCATTGGTAATAAACACAGAAGCAACTCCAGAATTACTTGGACTTAAGTCCAGGGTTACTGGCATCAGTGGGCAGCATGAATCCTTCAGGAGACCAGGTTCTTTCCAAAGCCAAAGGGGGCTGATCTAGAGTTCTACAGGAAAAGACTTCAGTAAGAGCTGTTAAGGATGAGAGCTCATTTTAGGCCTATGGCTCAACCTCAGCAGCCAGTTCTTTCTTGTTTTTAATTCCTCAGGCAGGCAAAATCCCAGTTCCCCTGTGACCATTTTCTTGAACACCACTACAACTTTATACACCAGTCCTTCTGTCTTCCCCTTTCAAAACTCTGCCTTTTTTCTAATCAGAGGGTACTTCTTGCCTTTGCAAGTTTTTTGTTTTATCTGTCTCTATTTACTCCTACTAATCTTACTGATTAGAATCTACTTTGGCATTTTTTTTTTAAAGATTTTATTTATTTATTTGACAGAGAGAGACACAGCAAGAGAGGGAACACAAGCATGGGGAATGGGAGAGGGAGAAGCAGGCTTCCCACCGAGCAGGGAGCCTGATGCGGGACTCGATGCGGAAATCAATCCCAGGACCCTGGGATCACGACCTGAGCCGAAGGCAGACGCTTAATGACTGAGCCACCCAGGTGTCCCTAAATAAATAGAATCTTTAAAAACAAACAAACAACTAGAGGCCCTTTTCAACCAGTTTCCCCATCTTTTACTTAAGAATGAAGTCTTCTAACAGGACATTACAAAATTTTCAGATCACCAAAAAATATTAATTTCTCTTTTTAAAAGAGATGAACACATTGTAAATAGTACACAGATGAAGAGTCTTAATACATTTTTCATTATCTTGACACACAGTAAAAACTCCATTACTTTGTTTTTACATAAAAATTAATGTATTTTAAGCTCCAGACCAGGGACTGGCAGTTTACTACCACACAGGCGCCCCAGGCCTCTAGTTTTTGAGCTGGCAAAAAAGTTGTCTGTTGATATGGTTTTCTGCACAATAAATGGTTGATGAAATCCTTAATTAATGGCATATATATCATGTAGTTTTGTAGGAAGAACTTTCATTGGTCTACCCGTTCTGTGACATCATCCTCACGGGGTTCTCTATGCCATGAAAAATCCTTACATGTTTATTTAGGATATCTTTAATAATTCAGAAAGTAAGTCATTTTATACCAGCCATTTTGTGAACCACACTGCAGTTTTAATTTCTTCTTCCATTAGGCGGGTAAGCACCAAGAATATGAACAGAAACTACTTCAAGAATTATATAAGTTAAACCCCAATTTTCTTCAACTATCTACGGGTTCAGTTGATAAGAATAAGAACAAAGTGACACCACTGCAGAGGTATGATACGTAAGTACCGATATTAGTATAATCAGACACCTTACCTTCATGTCTGTCGATCTCTCTTCTCATTTTACATCTTCTTCAGGCAGAATTCTTCTTGACAATGTCTATCATTTGTGCAGAATTGTTGCATTATATAGGAAATGTTGAGTCACAGTTTCTGGGTTTGAATGTTTGCTGCCTGCCGCTCCCTGGTAATACTTCAGATGAGCCTCTTGATGGCTGGCTACCCCTTTGCATTGATTTGCAGACTGCCCTGGACCCTCAGAACACCCTCCTTGAAAAAAAAAAGGAATTAAGGGATGTTGGTTATTGAAAGGCTCTTATTACCTAATTAAGGTTTCCCCTGATAAAATGAGGGGGAAAATATTGTAAAAGGGGGAGTGGGAGTTATCTGAAGCATTGTATGTTGGGGACCCAAATATTTGTGGTTTTTTAGTCACAGGAATCATTAAAGTCTTATATCCTCTGAACGAGGAGGATTCAGAATCTTATTCATCTTACGAAGCAACTTACTTTTGTGTAGACCTGTATTATGTCAGTGTTTAAATGAATTTGTAGTCTAAGGTACAGAGTCTCATTCTGATGTGGTGATCTTCACATTTTGGGTTATATTTGGTCATGGCCTGTCAAAATGGTATGATAAATAAAAACAATAATTTTGGGGTTGTGCTCTATCCCGAATGTTCCTTAAGTTTGATGTGTTAGGATCTTGTTAATGTTTTTTAATTTGGTAAGTTTAATTTTTATAAAATGAATTCATTTGAAGTAAATAGCTATAATTAGTTTAGATATGTTGATTTTCTTTCTTTCTTTTTTTTTTTTTAACTTATTCAAATTTAAATTTGTTTAAAGTGATATCCTAAATGTCTGGTTGTTACTTGTTATAGTCCAGCATTTAGCACTAAAGTAATATAAGGGCCATTTTTCAAATGTAGCTAATAGTAACTACATATATTGTCATCAGGTCAGTTTCTTCAGCTACTTATTCTTGTATTTAAATTCTTGAAGTCCTTGTTAAGTTTATTCACTTTGATGGTAAAGATTATTTAAAAGGCTATTCAAGTTTGTTTATATACACACACACATATGCACATGTACATACATGTGTATATAAGTATATATTAAAGAGGCCACAGAGCAAAACATAAAATTACTGTATAGTAAACTATGTGAAATTTGTTTATATCAAAGCTAAGAATTAAAGCTAAGTCCAAAAGAAATCTTTTTGGGATGATAAGCTTTGACCCTTTCCGTTGATCTTTTTGTACCTACTCCTTTCTGCTCCTGGATGTTTACTTTGTTATGAACCATATTCTATTACTTACCTCATTGGTTGCTAACTCAGTAGTGCTTCATATAAGAATGGGGTTACCATAGTAAAAATTTTTTTCAGATGATCTAACGTTTATATACATCACTGTTTTCATTAAAAATGTCATTCTAATTAAAACCATATTCTGGGTTTATAGCCCCTAGAGAATTCAGACCAGAAATTTAAAATTTAGATCATCTCTTTGAGATAATGTTTTTTATTTCCCAAATATAAAAGTAATATGTTTCTACTTAAGGAAATTTGAAAAATATATAAAAGCATACAGAAGAAAGTAAATATTGTATGTGATCTCAATACTCAAGACATTTTCCCTGAAAATGATTTGATGTGTTTCCTGCAGTGTGTATTTCTTTGTAGTCCTTTTCCTTCTTGTGAATGTATATATACACAAAATACATTGGTTTGTTATGTTTTAAAACTTAATACTCATTATTATGAATATTTTCCTTTGTCATGAAAACAGTTTTTTTATGGCTGCATGGTATTTCATTATACATGAGCATTTGAAATTTATTAAAGCAACCTCCTGCTGGTGTATATTATTTTCATTTTGGTGCTCTTATTTATGACACTGTGATGAACATTTTTTCATATAAACATTTTGGTTATTGCTTTGATGCTCTTTGAAGTAGAACTGCTGAGTCAAAGATGATGAGTACCTATTTCCTTGAATTGAATATTTTTTCTGCACATTTGCCAATTTGATTAAAAAAAGCTGTCTCATTTTAATTTGTATTTGAATAATAGAGTGAATGAACTTATAGATTGTGAATTCGTATCTGTTTGTTATGTTTTATTGATGTATTTAAGTGTTGTATGTGCATGATACAGAATTAACTTTCCCCAATTAGTTGACCAGTCTACTTGTGTTTCAAAATACTTGAATTTATAAATCAATTTTGGAAGAATTTCTATTCTGCAATATAACATTGAATGTTCTAAACCAATAGCATGGTATATCTCTCCAAGTCTTTTGTGTCTCTTAGGAAAGAATTTGTTGGTGTCTTTTCCCTGCTTTATTGTACTGCATCTCCCACCACCACCTCTTCCTATTTGAGAATTCCGAGGCTAAAAATTAAAGACCAGTGTTAGAAATCTTTTATCTGCTATCAGGCATCCTTGTCTCATTCTTTATAGGGCTATCTCCCTATTTTATAAGGCTGTCTCCAGTGTTTTATTCAGTTGTAAATGTGATTTTGACCATTTATTTGAGATAAGTATTTTTATTTTTATTTATTTATTTATTTATTTTTCTGAGATAAGTATTTTTAATCACAATATGAGAATACCTTGTTATTTTTAATTTGTTGAGTTTTTTTCTTTAGATTGAAAGTGAGAATTGACATTTACTAAATGTCCTTTTGGCCTTTATAACAAGTATTTAGTTTTTCTTCAACTTGTTTTTTTGTAATCAATTATTATTAGATTTACTAATATATTACTGACTTTGCCTTCATATAAAGTGTAGTCAGAACACATTTATAACTGTTTCAGTAGCAGGAGGGGAATGTCCTGGATACCACAGAGTATAAAACAAAGTACTCATTTAATAACTGCCCAAAGCCAGTTGTTACTGAACCTCAGCTAGGACCAGAATAAATTTGACATGGTTACCTGTGCTTTGCATAAGTACACAATATAGGAAGGTTTCTTTGGGGATGGAGAAGGGTTGTTTTTTGTTGGTTTAATTCAGGTCCCCCAAGTTTAAGGACATGTGATGGCCCAAGGTACAGAGAGTTCTTGTTTTGGCAAGCTCCTATAGCTTGTTTTCTTTCCATGCCAACCCCTGCAAAAGATTAAGTTCAACTGACTGTCAGTGCTGCTGAAGGTCTGCTTTGGTCTCCATTTCCACATTGTCACTGTACAGGGTATAGTGATAAGGATGAATTTGTAGATAATTTTCCTTCTTCCCATAGGGAAGACTTGTCAAGTTAGAAAGATGAACAGTATGACTCTTTCCATGGTCCTCCCCAGGAGATATGTTTTTCTTATTCAAGATAAGTTGAGAATTAAGCTTTGTGGGGAAGAATGAAAAAGAATGGTTTCTTTTTGTCTCTGCTTGTCATTCACATGTAGTGAATACCAGTTTTACAAGAACTGCAGGAAAACAAAACCTGGCACCTTATGAATTGATACTAAACCTAAAATGTAGTTTCCTCTTACTTCTAATTAAGCCAGAGTACAAATATTAAGAGTATCATAGCTACTGAATCCTCACTGAACCCTGACATGGTCCTGATACACATACATAAGTGAAGTTTCTGTAGTGTGTCTTACTCCTGTTTCACTTAAATGAACAGTAAACTATGAAAGGGTATATGCCATTTGTTCTCACCACCCCCCATTATGATGCATTCCAGAGTATATCAGTCAGATGGAGTATAGATATGCTAGTTTTCTATATTAATCAGTTACTTTGAAATGATGAATACAAATGACGAGAATGGGGAATAAGGAAACCATGCAGTAGTGATGCTTAATTAAGGACTGGCTATTTTAAGTTTGGGGCTTTGAAATACCTTCATTTAGGTTGAGACACTATTTGTGCCCCAACTGAAAACTGTGAAAGGAATAGTAGCTAGATGGGCTGCTGTGCCCAGGGACAGTGAGTAGGCCTACATAAGAATTTGGGGAGCACATTATTGGGTATATAGATCACTCAAGGTAAATGGTTATGACCTGACATTGTCGCTTAGACAAGCCACCATTGAAGGAGTGGGGATGTTCAGCTTTAGACTGAGCTGAGAAGAGGGTTGGCGTCTTTTGTGTGCCTTCAGTCTCCGTTGTCCTGTGTGGGAGATACCATTGTTATCTTGCCAGACCAGGGACTGGCAGAGGCCCGGGGCCCAGTTGTTACCTTACTACTGGCAGGGAAAACTGGGACTGGCAAGGCTCAGAGAGTTTAAATAATTCACCAGTATCCCACACAAATAAGTGATAGACCAGATTCTGACCAAAGTTGCTGTCGCTTTTACCCCCAGGCTCATTCTCCCACTCTGCCACTGCTCAGTCTAGAGGAGGTAAAATTCTTAAGAGACTTTAACTTGAATCAAAAACTCTTAACATGAATCAAACTAATTGACTTAAAGACTATGTCACAACTAATATGTACTTTGACCTTGAAGGTCTCGGGTCTATAAGGTTTATTATCTCAGGATAAATTGGATATACTATACATCGCAGGAATTAATGGTATTTTAAGCAAAAGCTTTCCTAAACCGCAGTTTGGTGGCAGTAGAGGAAAAGCTAAAGAAAGGAAAATGACTATAGGAATTTGTCAGTTTTTATTACATCGAAGGAAAATGCATGTCTTTTTAAAAACAGCTATATCTTTATTGAAAATCAAGTATAAGCTTTGATAGACTGCGGGCATAGTCAAGTGCCTTTTTTATTCAGCATAATGGGAGTGGTCCCTGCATGAATCTTGTTCTCCTACTCTGACATCATTTAGTCTGGTTTGATTTAGAAAAGGTATGGTCCCAGAGACTTGTTGAAAATAGTCTTGGGTAGAGCTTGTTAAATCATGAACAGGCTTCAGCACATCTGTGAACTCTCTGAAATTTTATCAGATTTTGTGTGTGTGTGTGTACATTTTTCTGGAGAGAGGACCCATGACTTAATAATAATTATAAATTGCACCTGTGTGTGCTAGTACTTACAG